AATGATGTAATTAAAAAACTGATAAGTTATAGTTGCTGCCGAGATATAAACCTAAATTAGCATGCTAAATTACTAGCCCCGGCCGGCAGGTGTCGTTTCGGCCAGGAGCGGTGTGCAGGCGGGCAACATTACCACCAGCCAAACTGCAATAGACGAGTAACTCGCGCGGCTTGTGTGTGTACTTGAACCTAATGTCAGTCGTGTGGAAATACAGCCCACTACTACATTTCAGTTCAGGGAAGAGTTCAAAAATGATTGGTCGACATTATGCATGAGGAATACATTTTGGTAAGTTGTAGCATACTGTATCTCTCAACAGTGTTCGTGTTTCTTTTCCATTAGCTAGTAGAGATGATCGGTTCATGTGCGCTAGGGATCTGTGGTGTAACATGGACAAGCGCCAAAACGGTATTTATTGTTTGAATTGCGTAATAAAATTGACAGAATCTGAGAGCTTAACTAACCTGCTTGCTAAGTGTTAATTGCATGTGTCTCACGGTGAATTCATGAGAGTTGGCAGCTCTGAATGGCGCTAGCTTGATCAACATCAGCGAATGCGGTCTGTCAAATTAATTCAAACTAACAATAAAAGTGTAATATAAACAAAACAAATACCGTAAACTTAAAATAATAGCTCGCAGGCTTTTATTTTCATATATTGTCGAAATGCACCAGCTTGTTTTTGAGACAGGCGTCTATGAGATGGTCTTCATCATTTAGTGTCCATCATTTAGTGTCCAAATGCTCCACGTGAAACTGCGGTCTTCCGACCTTTTACTATCGTGTCAAATAATTTGAATAATATGTGCGAGAAAGAGAGAGCAAAACAGCGCTCGCTCGTGTTGTTTGAAGACGTGAGAGTGCGCGCGGCCGCGGCACAACACATTTTCTGGAGGTATACTGCCCCCATCTGTTATGGAATATTTTTTGATTTTTAGTTCCAGATGGCAACTTTAAGTCTTCAAATACATTTTTGGGACTAAATTGCTACAATGTAAGCTGAGATGTAACACGAGGTGTCAGAAAACAAGGACTCACAATTCAGAAATATAATAACACTGACTCTACAGTTATTACCTTATTCTTGACCTCTCTCACAATATCAAGGTATGGTAATCCAGGTTTCACCATCAGCATGTCAGCACCTTCTTTCACATCCCGGTCCTACCAGCAAAAAAAGTAGTTTCCTTATACTTTTACTTCACTTGCTGCATCCCATACAATAGAAGAAAAAAAAAAAACACAGGTCTAGTCAATGTGACCATTTCTGTAATTAAAAATTGATTTAGGGTCTTGTTATATCAGTGCTGTTTTAGTAGTTCAGATTCCATGTTAAAAGTGCCCTTTCAATAAATTCCTGTCATAAAACATGTAAACACAGGAAAGAAAATTGTGCTCATCAGGTGATTACATGGGGTCTTTAAAAAGTGAAGTTCTCTTACACAGGCCCGCAGTGCTAGTCCTCTGGCACCAGGGGGAAGCTGATAGCATCGTCTGTCTCCAAAAGCAGGTTTAGACTGGGCAGCATCCCTTCAAATGTTAAGGAAAATTGTATTTTGGTTTACAAAAAATAAACCCATCCTGTTGTTCTCAACTTATAAGAATATACTGTACTGTATACAAACTATGAAGGAAGTTGATAAAGGGAATATATAATACCTGAATGGTCCATAGTAGCAGGAGGCAAATTTAGCACTGTAGCTCAGCACTGACACCTAAGAAAGGGGAAAGAGCTAGAGTCAGAATCTGCAATATTCTATTTAACTATTTTGTGTGACCCAAAAGCAAGATTTGTCTACCTTGTTGCCAAGATCATTACTGATTAGTGCTTGCTTAATGGCTGCAATTCGTCCATCCATCATATCAGAAGGGGCGATGATGTGGCAGCCTAAAGAGAGAAAAAGTGTGACCTAATGTAATGATGATGACTTCTATAGACCTACATTGAACAAATTTATAAATGCAACACTTTTGTTTTTGCCCCCATTTTTCATGAGCTGAACTCAAAGATCTAAGACTTTTATGTACTTCTATGTACACAACAAGCCTATTTCTCTCAAATATTGTTCACAAATCTGTCTAAATTTGTGTAAGTGAGCACTTCTCCTTTGCCGAGATAATCCATCCACCTCACAGGTGTGGCATGTCAAGATGCTGATTAGACAGCATGATTATTGCACAGGTGTGCCTTAAGGCCATTGCACACTGAGTACGAAATATTCGTATGCGGATTTTCGTGTTCGTCAGCCTAAAAATTCGTCACGCATAGAAACCTTGCACACAGAGTCCGCTGCGTATTTATTAAACCTTTGCGGGAAAAAACGCAAAAATACCAAATGGATTCGTCAAGCAGTGAGGATGATTTTTGCCCTCTCTCTTATTGAAAAGAGAAGAAAGAGAAAATATTACGTCCATCCAATCCTGAAATTGCGCCGAGAGGAAGGAGAGTTCCACCTTATCAAGGAGTTGCGAATTTATCCTGAGCGATTCAAAATTTACCTCAGAATGTGAGTGGGACAGTTTGATGCTTTGCTAGCGATTCTGGAGCCACATATTAAAAACAAGACCACCAATTTCCGTGAACCAATCGATTCTGAACGGAGCCTGACAGTGTGTCTGGTATGGATGGCAACACATTAAACACACACCCGCGCGCGGCCCATTGGAAGCGCTGGGCAGACAGAACAGCTATTGTGTATATTGTGCCCAAATAATACATTAGTTATCGAATAGGCTGCTCAATCACACCTTATTCGATCCTAAATTTCAATCTGATTGAAAGGGGAGGTTTATTAACTTCATAATCCAATATAGAGAAGAGAACATAAACACTTGATCGAATTGAAAACCGAAACTGAAAGCACGGCGCATATGTTCAATGATTTGAGGACGAGCTCCCCGGCCCTGAATTGTCAAAAGACCTCTCAAAATGCTGGCTCTGGATGCGAAAAACGCAGAAAATCGAACCCGATCCGATTAATTTTATGACGGACGAAAGTTTCGGAGGCGGTGTGCAAGCGTGACTGACATAACGTGAGGTCAAATTTTTTTTTTTACGTGCGAAAATTTCGGATGCGAATTTCGGACTCAGTGTGCAATGGCCTTTAGGCTGGCCACAATAAAAAAAAGGGGTTTTGATTGTGGCCTGTGGAATGTTGGTCCACACCTCTTCAATGGCTGTGCAAAGTTGCTGGACTGGAGGACCTGGTCGTATACGCCGACCCCCAAACACAGTAAAATTGCACATTTTAGAGTGGGCCTTTTATCGTGGCCAGCCTAAGGCCCCATCCACACTACTGCGTTTTAGTTTAGAAACGGAGACCTTTTGCCACGTTTGCACCTGCTGTCCAGACTAAAACGATAAAAACGAAGACCTAAAACGGAGAAGTTTAGAAACGCTGCCGACCCCATTTTGCGTTTTGAATCTCTGGAGGGTGTTTTAGTGAAGACGCGTCAAAACGGAGGACTTCAGAAACGATGACGCAGAATCTCACGCTCGGCTCTCTGATTGGGTGTCATCAGTCATGGCATATCCTTCCCTGATTTGTCAGCCACCCATCACATGACCCGTCCCCGGAAGAAAACATACAACAACAGCCTGGACTACCAGTTATGTTAGTGACTGCAACATGGATAACGAATTACAAGTGTTACTGACGTTGATGTTTTTGCTAGCAGCTGTTGTGCAAGTAAATCCTGCATTTTACAATGCAATAACTGCCTGCATGCACGGGAGGCAAGCTACTATTCAAGCGATCTGTGACCGTGTGCAGCGGCGGTATCGACCATACATGGAGCGTCACTCTTTGCAGAGGTAATTCCTCAGATTTGATGAAGAATAAAGTAGCTAAGTAGCTACTTTCTTCTTCATCAAATCTGAAGAATAGTCCATCGGTTTCATGTTTATACCAGTGTTCTGACGATTCATGCTACCCATCCGGCACACGCATGCCCAGTGTAGGTGAATGGTCACGTGATCCGCATTTTCTGTTGTTTTAATGTGGATGGAGATCAATTCTAATACGCAGCTAAAATGCGGGTGTGGACAGAGATCGTATTTGTTTTAATTCTCCATTTCTAAAATAAAATGCAGTAGTGTGGATGGGGCCTAAAGCCAGTGTTGTAGTACTCGAGACTCGGACTCGTCTCGGACTCGGTCTCGAGACCATATTTTAATGGTCTTGGTCTTGTCATGGACTCGTGTCCATTTGGACTCGGAATTGACTCGTACTCGAACATTTTTTTTTTTAGGACTCGGAATTATTCCCGAGTCCACTCGAGTTCAATTAAAAATATTTTTCATGATTATTAATGTATGCTAATAAAATATTTCTTTAAATTGATTGACACGCCCAGTGATTGGTGATTTTCTAGTGCGCAACTGCGCATGACAAATTGTAATAAAATTACTTTTAACACCACCTACAATGTGGCCTTTTTACCCTAAACTGATCATATTTTTTAAACTCTAAGTAAATTCAGTAATAAAAATATAGCTGCGAGCAGCGATGAAGGGCCCAAGCCGGTGGCACCGCAACCCCGGTTCCTTAGTTACCTAAAAGCACCAGGGTGGCCATGCCACTGGCTTTGGCCCTTCATCGCGGATCACAGCTATATATATATATATATATATATATATATATATATATATATATATATACTGTATATATACATATATATATGAAGCCGGTGGCACCGCCACCCTGGTGCCTTTAGGTTTATTGTGCACGACATGCAAAATGTAACCCTGCTTTGACTGATGCAAGCTCTACAGCACAGTTTATAGTAAGAAAGAATATAGTAAGAAAGAAAAGTAAGCTGTTACTCTGAGATGGTTTGGGAAACAAACATTCATCATGTCGCATTGGTTTTAGTTACTTGTCCTCGAACAGAGCCCTAATCTGTTTATATTTCAGTTACACATTCTACATTGATTAAAAAAGAAAAATCAAATGTGTTTTTAATTCATACAGAAATAAAATATTTATAATTCAGCTGAGAATAAAGTTAGTTCAAATTTTAAGAAAAACAAATATATGATCTGAAATATAGCACATTCATTTTTAAATTCATTCAGGTTCAATTACCAAAAATACAATCTTAATTTAATTTAAAGCAAATAATAAATCTAAAATATATGGGTTATATGCATATTTTGTAAAAAAAGAAAAAAAAAAAGAAAGAAAGATATATATCCAAAAACACAAGGCCTTAAACTTTAACAAGGGTGCAACTCTTATCACTACAACAAACATAGTCACACACACAAGTCAAGTCACTTACATTTTATATGCAATATTGACTTTTTATATGCAATATTGACTTTTTTCTGTTTCAGCAGAGAAAATAGTTAAACAAAGATCACAGCGACCCATCGCGCATCTCAAAGCAATGTGTTTTCTCATTACTGAATGATTCAGCATTTTGAATCCATGACTCGTTCATTAAGACGGTCATCTGGCGACACCTTATGGTGATTTAGGGTTATGTTTAAAAGTATCGTTCTTTACAGCGATTTTTAATTGACTCCTGTTAAACCAATCTCGTAACATTATTGTGTAACCGATTTAATTTGATCAGCCTTACCTAGGGTAACAGCCCTATAGTGTCTTATTATTCTAAATTATTGAATTTATTGATCAAATTTACTAATGAAAAATGAAGCATACATTTATTAAGACTAGGCTGCCCTGCAGATATTAGGCTACAATATGCAGATTTAAATATAGGCCTACCATTTATCAAATAATCTGTTTATTTTTAGGTTACACATTACATTGTTTAAAAAATAAAAATCAAATGTGACCCGCTCTGGCGAAATGAGTCGGAAGTTGCAACCTTCCATTTTAAGATATGGGCCGATTATGTGGAAAAACCATGAAATAACAAAAAAAAAAAAATTTTTTTTTGCTAATTTCAAAGAACAGACATTCAAAAATAATCTCACAGGGTTTCGTAGTCGAGATAATTGAGTAAAGGTATTTAAATAACGATTAAAGTTGTCAAAGCTTTAAATTCGCTGAAATAAACATTGCTCTTCTCAACTCCCCTCGTCACCTCTGAGCATTTCCCGGGTATCCCCTGAAACGTTGAACTCACTGGAGGCTTCTAACCTAAACTGCGTGAGTATATTTATCTGCAAGAAGAATATAGCCTATGTAAGGCTGTAACGATCGCGACACTCAGATCCACGAACCTGTGTCGCGGTGTGAGAAGACAGAATCACGACACCGACACGTCCCTTCAACTCCCGAAGTTATCCTTCACGTCCAGACCCAATGCTAGCTACAACATCTTTAAATTACTATTAGTATTATTTGAAGTTAACATTATAAAATACGTAGACTTACACCACAAAACTTAAATTATTACTATTTTTTTTTAAATTGGGCAATTTCAGCATTATGGAGGAGATCCAATTCCCAGATAATTAAATATTTTAATAAATTGGCCTATGTGAACCACACTGCACAAACCAAAAGTAATACTCACCCGATGAAGAAGGGTTGACTCTCTCCAGAACATAAAATCTTTATTTTATTTTCCGTGTTCGCATTTATGAGGAAAAACAATCCGAACGTGACCGTTCTCTGGAAGCAGCACTAAAACTTTCACATAGCTTAAACATGCAAGCACAAAGCCTTTCTTTAAAGTAAATTTCGTTTTAAAATAATTATCTTAATTTAAATCAATGTTTCATCAACCAATTACTAGGATTTAATAATAAGAAATAAATTGCAGACAATAGGCTAGGCCTAATCACGACGCGGAGACGCGCGGCACGTGAACTGAAGCTTGTCTCATGAACCGAAAGTCAGCGTATAAGGTATCCTCACAGACATATATATTGAAATGTCTACTTTTAAACACAACCATTCAAAATGAAAGAAAACAGACTGCTC